AAACTAAATTAAACATCAGTAATGAACTGGTATGGTACCTCAACTTATTTAACCCATAATAATTATTATTGCATTCCATCTGGTTTCGACAAATACTTAATTTACAACATATTTCATTTCAAACTCAACACGTGGTTTATGGATTTCCAACATGACTGGAAAATTGTTCAGACTAGCAGTTCGGATTACATATATCTATACTATTCATAATCCTGTATAGATTTAAAATTTAAATAGAAATATTACCTTTCAAAAACAGATATTAATTTTTAATAAAATTTTAAAAATTCTTACTAAAACTACTGTAAAAACTCACCAGTGTTCTTGTCGGTTTGAGGAATGTCTGTTCATATGATACAAAGAATTGAAATAAAAGTATATTTTACACCGGTTTAAATGTGTACCTGCTGCCCGGGGATGGAATCAATTTCCGGTTCCAATTGTCATAAATTAGTATTGCCAACTAATTATTCAAGACTTAAGTCAGTCAATTACTCGAATTCAAAATTTGAATAATCATCAATATTCACCCAATTACTACTTTATTTAATTATTAATTATTATAATTTAAATTAAATATTTTAAGAAATGTTTATACACCATAATAGATAGCTCAGACCGACAATTATTTCAAATAAAAAAATTTTCAGGCAATTTGTAAATTTGTTATACCTTTCAATTACAAGTACACTTGTTTGTATTTACTAAATAATCATTTTAATTTGTTCTGAAATATTTAGACTAAAATTGGTTAGTTATAACAGATGATGTATTTCAATTATTCACATTGTTACTTTAAAAAATTTTTGAATTTGAAACTTATTAATTAAAATTGTTAAAGTATGCCAATATTAAACACATCAATTTACTTTTGATTTCTAAATTAAAACAAATTTTGATACATTCATTAATATCAACATACTCCATAATACTGAATAACTAAACTTACAGTATTTAGTAATAGAAGAAGAACTGTCACACTTCAACCTACATATGTCAAATTTACCTCTTAAATCTAATAGATTAAATATGAAAAAAACTCATTTCTTCCAACAGTGAGATGTAGTGCTTACAGTTTCTTCCATCCCCCAAGTTTAAGTTTTAAATTCAATGTTTGTCCCGTCATTTAGTGTTTCTGTTCCTGTTAATGTGTGTTTAATTTGTCCCTGATCGTCTTAATTTATAATAATTTTATATACTTTTTATATACCTTTTACATAGTTGACTTTACAATAATTTATTAATTTTGCCAATAGACTTGATAATTACAAGTCAAAATAATTGCACAACCACACAATCGGTACAGCTACTCTTATTCATTGTCATAAAACTGTCTCCTTCATTACATAAATACTCAATAAATAACACACATTCCAAAAAATATATCTCTGATATAAGTGTAAATAATTTAAATAATACAATAGTAAAGAACATCACTTTCATCTGACAAACAACCACAATATACCTATCTCTAATTCATTGGATCAAATCTGTTCTCCTCAAGAACTTCCCGTTTATTGTCAAAACAACTGCAATAGCACATTAAAGTTCTCCAATCAACAATACATGATTTTTGCAACCATGACCTACCATCCATCAATTAATAGAGTACCGGCATGTAAGTAATGTTTGTTTTGTTTTATTTATTTGCTCATTTATTAATTTATTACAATATAATATTGCTACTTTATACCAATTGTGGGTCTTACCTTGTCTGTTAATACCTTTTATATATTCAAATTTATTCATTTTGAAAACCACAGACATGTAATATTGGCATAATTACTATAATTTGTATGAACTAACTTATTTGTTTATTTTATCTTTATGAGACACCACCCTAATTGGGTTTATTTTATTGCAGCATTAGTTTAACTTTGTATCTAGACCTGAAGATGCTTTGCAAATTGTAGAAAGCGAAACCGGTCGTCAGATTGTTAAATTAAATTGATTGTGAGTAAGTCTTATTATTATTTCTTTACCTATTTGATATGGACTCACACAAGCAACACATTCATGATTTGAATAATGATAGTCTTTTATACAACCGTAGACAATTGTTGTGTGTGCGTATATTCCAGTGCTATGATTTTAAATCCGGTCCTGATGCGCCGCTCGGAGCAAACCGGCAACGTGGTCGGCCGTTCTCCCGTAAGAAATACATTGCCTATCTTATATGCACTGCAATCTAACTGTGGCTTCTACTATAGACCCATAGTATGTGTCGCTTCTTTAAAATATATAGAAATTTTTTGAAGGCCTTTTAATGCGCATCTAATTACGTCTATATCATCTGCATAAGCTACGACACTAGTTGATCTTTGTAAATATTGTACCTTCTCTATATATTTCAGTTTTCCTGATAGATTGTTCCTCCAGCGAATAAAAAGTGTAGCAGATAGATCTCCTTATGTTAGACCTTCGTTAATATTAAATTCATCGGACAGTTGATTTTGAATTCTTACTTTTGCTTTGATGTTGGTTAGACATAGTTTTACTAATCTGATTCTAAAACCTCTACAACATTCTCTCATTAATTTAGAAAATTTTGAAACCTAACCCTCATTAAAGTTAATAAAATGAAATTTATATATTTGTCTGGTCATACTTATTATTTATAATAAAAACTGGAGATAATAATAGAATATTACTTTATGAGGCGGAGAAGCATGACTTTTCTTGACGCGCCCGATATTACGCGACGAACGAAGTGAGGCGCGTAATAGAGGGCAAGTCAAGAAAAGTCGCTTCTTTGCCGAATAAAGTATACTATTTTTTCTTCAAACGTAGCAATTTTCAACCATAAATAGTATAATTCATACGCTATTTTTACTAGAAATTAACTGTGACAACTATCAAAGTTGTCTAGATGTTAGAAATTAAAATAATTAAGTCATCGGTGGGATCATCGAGCAAAAAAAACAAAGAGGGAATCTAATCGTTATGAAAAGGAGACCAAAAAAGTGGCCTCTGATGGCGGGCATATCCGGAAATGCGAATGCGCCAAATTTAAATTTTCTGACACTTATTAACAGTAGCTATAAAATAGTTTTCAGAATGTGTCTTAGACGAGAAAGTTTTAATTAAATATTAACGATAACAGTCTAAAATGTGAAACAATTGTTAAAAAACTTCAATATAAATAAGATTCCATGTGACAGTTGGAACAAATAATAACATAACCCAATTAAATTTGATTTATTAAACAAGGAAAGACTCTCCTTCCTTGTTTAATTTGGCCTCTCAACATGGCAATTCCTGTCTAACAATATTTTTGCCCCCACTACCTTTACATTCCCTCTTTTGTCTTTTTGCTCGATGGGTGGGATTTGCTTCTCCCTGGTTACAGTTGTTTGACAGTTATTTGCAATTATTAAAGACTGCTTATTGTTGTTGCAACCGCAAGCGCAAATTTAGTGCGAAAATGGAAAACCTAAGCGAAATTGAGTCCGCGGCTAATGATAGAGTAGCACGTATGGGGCCCTCCAAGTCCGGAATAAAGTGTCGGTTAGCGTACAAGCACTTCCAATAGTGGTGCGATACAAGAGGAGTACGGCAAGTTACCGAAGACATTTTACTGGCATATTTTAATATAATGGAAAATGAAAATAAATGGAAATCTTCTACAATGTGGTCACGATACTCTATGATAAAATCCGAGTTAGTTATTAGAAAAAATGTGGATACAAGCAAATTTTTAAAGTTACGTGCCTTTCTGAAAAAAACAAGCGAAGAATATACTGCAAAGCAGTCTAAAGTTTTCACTAAAGACGAGTTTGATAAATTTTTGTTTAAAGCGCCAGATAAGTTGTATTTAGGATTAAAGGTAAAAAAAATTATATTGCAAAGCATGTAGTATACTCTACTAAATTATAAAAATATTTTAGATTGTTTTGTTAATTGGGGTTACCGGCGCCTGTCGATGCGACGAAATGGTAAAAATGAAGACTGTAGACATTGAGGATAAAGAAAATGTAATAATTATCAAAATCCTAGACAGTAAAACACGACAAATTAGATCTTTTACAATAATTGGTCAAAACTACATTAAACTGTATAAAAAGTATGCATCACTGCGGCCTGAAAATTTCACAGAAAACCGATTTTTTATCAAGTACCAAAATGAAAAGTGTTACCGAAGCGTCATGGGAATACATTCGATCAACGCAGTAGCCCAAAAAGTAGCTAGTTATTTAAATTTAAACGATGCAAGCGCATACACGGGTCTCTCTTTACGACGAACTTCAGCAACAGTTTTAATTGATGGAGGCGGAAATATTGAATGCCTCAAACGACATGTGGGCAGGAAATCAAGCACGGTTGCCGAAGGATATATAGAGGATTCAATCAAAAATAAGAACGGTAATGCTTAAAAAATTTTAAACCCTCATGATTCGCTAACATCGGGAATGATTGCTAAAAGTTGTTCTCGACCATCACATCAGTATCATCAACAATTACCAATGCGTATCAAGAGTCGGGAACATTTTTGCACGGTTTCAATTTTGAAAATGCCTCATTAACTAATTGTACTTTTAATATTACTATAAATAAAAATGATGTTTAATTGTTGTTAATGGCATTTGTATTGTTGCTTTGTGACATGTTTCATATTGTTGCCATGACAACATTTTTCCCTCCGCCGTAAAGAAATGGGAAAAAAACTGCTGCCGGCAGAGACATCAAACTTTGTAATGTCATCATTATTTGACGTTTGAAGAAAAAATAATTTTTCTAATCAATTCGTTTTTCTCAATCCAAAATTATTTGAAATTTTGCTCATAACGTGAAAAAAGAGCACAAAAAAAATTGTAGAGCAGTGTAATTGGCGTTTCGCCACATGATGTATATAAAATTTAATTATTATATTAGTAGTATAAGTATATAAGTTAATAACAACTTAGAAGGTTTGTTTATATAAATTTTAATAATAATCTACCTTAAATAATTTAAGCAAATAGGATGTTTATTAAAAAACAAAAGATTTAGTAGTCGAGGCCACAGTTCATTAACGGAAAACGCATCAGTAGATTAAATATACATCTAATTCAAAAATGATTCCCGATTTATGGATAAAGGGGAATTCCATTACTCAAATACTAACAAAACAAAAGTTGGAGAAATACAGACATCTTCTAAAATGGAAAAAAAATGAAACCATTCTCGAGTTTGGTGCAGCAGATGGAAACACTTCTGCCAATTCAGTACTACCAGCATTACCAAAGGATTACAAAGAATATGTTTTAACTGATATATCGCCTGATATGGTAGAACATATGAAGAAAAATCTAAGTATACCCAGAAGTAAGATCATACAACATGATATTGCTACCGTAAGGCTTCAAGACGAACTCAAAAACAAGTTTGACCACATTTTTGGTATATATGTGATGCACATGGTGCCGAATCCAAGGTAAAAACTTTTCCTTTTCTTGCTTTTTCAAAATTATTCTTGTTCATCTTCTTCGTGTACCTCATCCTTTGGCGATCAACACGGCTTATTTATTTTACTTTGTCTGCAACAGTTCTGAAGAGTTTCATTACTGTTTTTCCACTCTACTGTTTTAAGTTTTTTAACCAGATCAACTTACTAGCACAACTAAGTGTTACTAGCACCCTCTATAAGCAATGCTAAATTGGAGTCAATTGGAATCTTCTGGAGATGTCAGAGATGCCAACCCCTAGTGTTGGCGAAACGTCGAGAAATAATCTCAGAAGTCAACGGCCTAACAACCCGAACAAACAGTTTAACAAGTTAGACGATGGCTGTGAAAGCCTAACGCATTTTATCATAATCGTTTATCGTGATAAAAATATGACTATTAATGCAAATACTTCTCAAAGTGAGCAAATGATTTATGATGTTCTTCTTCTTTGTGCGCCGTGCTTGTATTCAAGCGCTCGCTATCGTCATATTGACAAGCTCATGAAATGATTCTCGGTCGGCAGCTAGATGAAACAGTTCCTCGACCGTTCGACCTGTCCATTGTCTAATGTTACGCAGCCAGGACAGTTTTTTTCTTCCGACACAACGTTTTCCTTGGATTTTGCCCTAAATAATTAACCTGTGTAAGCGATATTTAGGTCCTCTCATTATATGACCGAAGTATTGGATCTTTCTCATTTTGATGATGTTGATCAATGATTTCTCTTTGTGCACGGTCTCTAGCACACGTTCTTAGATATTTGTGCTGTCCAAGGGATTCTGAGCATGCGACAGTAACACCATAACTCGAACGCTTCTAATTTGTTAAGATTTTTTATTTTTGTTGTCCAGCTTTCACATCCATAGAACAAAGTGGACCAGACGTAGCACTTCAATACTCTTAGACGTGTGGTCAACGACAGACTTCTACTGCATAATAGATAACGCCAGTTAATAAAGTTTTTCCGTTAAAATCCTAAAGTGTTCCACCCTTTCAAGGATTTTGTTATCTTATCTTAATACTGAGTCTTCGATATTAATTTTTCCGACCATTTTGTTTTTTTTTGCGCTGATTGTTAAGCCCCTGTCAGTGCTTTCGTTGTTTACAGGATTCAACAGGGTTTGAAGATCTTTTAGACTCTCTGCTATTATTGCGGTGTCATCGGTGTATCTGATGTTATTAATAATTTCACCACCGATCTTACACCTTCGCGACGATTATTTAACGCTATTTCAAAAACTGGTTCAGTGTAGGCATTAAACAACATCGGTGACATAACACATCCCAGTCTGACACCACGCTTAATAGAAACTTTAGCTGAAACCTCTTGGTCCACTTTAACACAAGCGGTCTGATTGTAGTAAAGATTTTTGAGCAATCTAATGTCATATGTGTCCAGACCTACTGAGTCCAAGCATTGAAATAATAATGTATGTGGTACTCTATCAAAGGCTTTTTCGAAATCTATAAAACATACGTAAATATTTTTCTTAAACTCAGTGCTCTTTTGTAAGAGTAATCGCATGCAAAAAAGAGCTTCTCGATTACCCATACCGTTTCAGAAACCAAACTGCTCATCACCAGTTCTCGCCTCACAAAGTTTATATATGCGGCAATATAAAAATAGCAACAAAGAACATCAAAACCATTTCATCTTTATATTCCAAAACTAAATATTCTATAGACAAATTATATCAAACAAATGTAGTATGCAGCATTGGTTGTACTCAGTGTGAAGCTGAGTATGTTGTTGAGACTGGAAGAAATCTCTCAAATCGCATTATTTCTCACAAAAGTGATTGCAGAATTAAGAAACCATCTTGTGCTTTGGCAGAGCATGTAATAGACAAAGACCATATTATGGATTTTGATAATATTAAAATTTTATGTAGTGAAAGTAATAAATTTAAAAGAACTTTTTTGGAAATGGTTTGTATTAGCAAAAGTGATAATAATTTAAACAAAAGGTCAGAAATTGAAAATTTAAGCAAAATTTATAATTATATTATTTCTATGTAATTTATATATGCAATCAGTAAAATATCACATTTTGAATTTTCCATGCATGTGTTACATTTTTTCAGGCATCTATCAATGGTAAATAAATCTTCTTCTTTTTTGTTACTAAACAAAAAAGAATTTTTTAAACAAAATTTTATTTTTGACAATATGTCAAAAATAAAAATTTTTAAGTTGGTATTTATGACATTGAGGCTGATTTGTTGCTATTCAATTTTTGTTTACAAATTCAATTGTTATTGTTAAGAAACTTTATCAAAATTTATTTCAGAGAAACATTTATTAGAATAAGACATTTTTTTAATAATATTTTTTGTAATAATATGTTAGCAGCAGTTTTATATAAAAAACTAATTTTATTTGGTGATTTAACAAAAAATTTTTAATTTCTAGTTCAACTTTGTAAGATATTTTGTATTTTTTAGACGCTCTTGATAATAATTGTAATCACAATTGAAAGCTCGAGTAAAAAATAGTCAACAAATAGCTCCTTTTAATGACTCCAACCCAGTAAACAAATAATTTACTGTGGAACCCCGAGGTCCAACAGAAGAAGTATTCCCAAAACATTACTTAAAAGAATGAAAAAGGGAGAAATTTGGAGTACTCAGAACAACTGCTTACGTATTATAAAATGCCCAGTTATGATGTTAAGAACTAAATCAACTCATACAAGTAGGTACTTTATAACGAACAAGAAAGCGAAACTGGCAACGTGAGCTTGTATTGAAACCAAAGGCAATTATTTATGACAACCAAGCAGAAAAAGGAGTAGACTTTAGTGATCAGATAAGTTCTTCTTGATAATTCCGTTTTAGGAAAAAGTTTTAAATGGTACCGTAAATCGTTTATAACAAGATTAGTTGTTTATCTATCTTGACACTTTAAAACATTGTTAACAGGAAAGCTTATAAAAAAAAAGATGACAATGATAAGTGTCTTATTGTTTTTAATTTTAATAAATGATCTTAAAACTTGTATAATTTATATTATAAAAATATAAAAACTAATTATATTATTACCGGTCCCCGATGGTAGGTAACGCATCAAATTCGCGCCATGCTACGTGTCCCGTGCGACCGGTAGTGCACTTCCGTGGTTTACATATTTTGGGAACGCAGTCAACCTGTTAATATTCAGCTTTTATTTTTCGTAAGATCCAGGATAAGCAAGTAAATTTATGGAAATTTTTAAAACAAATATTAATTTATTTTTTTGGATAAACTAAATTTAAACCCCACCATGTTGTAGACTTGCTATTGTTGTATTGCTTGTAAATCTGCCTATTATAGTGTTCTAAAAAATAAATTGTATGAAGCCATGAATGAACTCCACATCCCCGATAAAGTGATAAGATTGGTTAAGGCTACAATGCGTAATGTGGTTTGCAAAGTCGAAATACAGGGCGAACAATCACAGGCGTTTGGAACGCATGTTGGGCTGCGACAGGGATACGCGCTGGCGTGTCTCCTTTTCAACATAGCACTGGAAAAGGCGATCAGAGATGCCCGAATAGACAACAGACGAAATATTTTTAATAAATCATCTTAAATGTTGGCATATGCAGATGATGTCGACCTAGTTTGTCACACAACACGCAAGCTAGAAGAAATGTACACCACCTTCTCAAATGCCTCAAAATCTATGGGCCTGCAAGTAAATGAGGAGAAAACTAAGATGATGGCATCAACACCCAACAATAGAGTCAGAAACATCGGTCCCCAATTCACGGTTAATAACACTACCTTTGAAGTGGTGGACGAATTCACATACTTAGGCTCCCTGATCACCAAAGAGAACGCCATAACGTAAGAAATGAAGCGAAGGATAATAATGGCAAACAGATGCTATTTTGGACTGAGTAAACATATGAGAAGTAGAAACTTAAGCAAAAAAAAACAAAAATAACTATATTACAAAACCCTTATACGGCCAGTGTTGACATATGGATCGGAGACATGGACCATCTCCAAGGCAGACGAAGACCTTCTGCTTATATTTGAACGAAGGATCCTGAGAATAATATTTGGTTGCATCTGTGAAAATGGTGTTTGGAGGAGGAGATAGAACTACTAGGTATACCACACATATAAATAAATATTTGGTGGTAAAGACGCAGTATCTCTTATAAGAATAGGAAGACTAAGATGGGCAGGACATCTAGCAAGATCACAGCAGAACAACTCTCCTAGAAGAATCCTTATGTCACAACCCGTGGGAAGTAGAAAAGGGGGTAGGCCAAAACTCAGATGGAAGGATGGTGTAGATGTGGATGGTAGAAAGATAGGCGCAGCAAACTGGCAACGGTTGGCAATGGATAGGACTATGGTAATAGACTAGGAATGGTAATAGACTTGAGAAGGTCGAGGCTCTTTCATAGGGCTGTAGCACCATTAATGATGATGATGATGTTGTACATGCTGCCAATCATATGATTGTCTTTGTATTAAGCATATTGTTCAGATATCATTGTTTCTCTCGGCCAAAGGATAATATTATTGATGGTATATATACATTGATCTTAAAAAATAACGTATAAAAACAAACCAAAGTTTAGCATATAATTCAATTATTATACCTATAATTTTTTTTTTTTTTTAGATACTAGATTTATAGAAGGTTGCAGTAAAAAAAATTGACATACTACGACGTACTTCTATTGTACATATGAATCTAAATTATATTTTTATTTTAGGCAAAGTTTCATTAATATCAAGGAAATGCTTAAGCCAGGCGGTCAAGCATTTGTATCGTTCTTGGAACAATCACCGCCGGATAACGCTTACCACCGTTTGCTGAAATATCCGAAATGGTCAAGATACGGACATATGCTGTCTGCCCATTATTATAGTGACAATATTGAAGAATCGTATAAAAAAGATATTGATGCTGCAGGGTTCGAGTCCTATTCGTTTCATGTCGAAAAGGACTACCCGGTTTGGTATCAAAACGAAGAGGATAAAAAGAGTAAGTATACATTTAACACGCTAGTCCACGACGCTTTGTATGGTTACGTCAACTTTGAATAATTTTGTTGTTATTTTAATTAAAGAAGAATTGAGGAATCATGTATTAGTGAAGAATATCGGTAGACTTGTTCTATCGCGTCTACTGTCTTTGTTCTGTTCTGGTAAGATAGAACAAGCAGCAAAACTGATATGGAAATGGGCTGCACACAATGAACGTCTCCAAGACGGACGATAGAACAATGCCATCGGAAAGTGTCGTCCATACAATGCAAAGAGATCAAGAGGCAGACCACAGATGAGGTGGAAAGATGACATCAGGAAACAAGGAGGTCCCACATGGCAGAGAACAGCTCAAGATAGGGAAAGATGGAGAGATCTGGGGGAGACCTATATCCAACAATGGAAGGATAGAGAATAGGTTCAAAAAAAAATCGGTAGACGGGGCCACCATACGAATTTTTTTCGTAGGTTTTTGTCTAAGTAAAATTAATTTTGGTATCGATTTCAACTTAATATGTTAAATGTTGGACACTAACATGGCTATTCTGACTTTGTTGACTGCTGCCCTCAAAAGTCCGGTAGTGGTTAAGTTAAACCATTTTCGTAGGTTATGCAGCCAGGATATTCTTCTCCTTCCTGGACATCTTTTCCCAAGCACTTTACCTTGGAGTATAGTGCGAAGTAGATAATATCGTTGTTCATTACTCATTGTATGGCCCAGGTATTCCAGTTTACAACGTTTTATGGTTACGACTAGTTGGCGCTCTTTACCCATTCTATGTAGTACTTCTTCTTTGGTAACTCTGTCTATCCAGGAAATCCTCAACATGCGTCTATAACACCACATCTCAAATGCTTCGAGTCTATTCCTTTGTATGTGTATACTGTAAATAGAACTATTATTACTGTACATTTTTAACGATATCCGATTAGGAAGAGCAAAAACTTTCAAACACTCAAGTTTTTTGCTGACAGTCCGAAGCCTGTAAAAAGTGTGAAGGAAAGTACCTTTCTGAATTTAGATCCATATACTACAATTATTCACGTAGAACAAAAAAACTACTTTCTTCATGTTAAAAATTGTCCAATTATCAAGTATATTCACTTGAACAACCTGGAAATACCATATGAACTAATTTAACTAATTTTTATAATCGTGTATTACACAGCTACATGACATATATTAAATAACAAACTTTCTGAAGTGCGATAATGTGTACTTACGGTAGTTTATTGAGAGACTCTTGTATACACAATAAGATCAACTCAGGTGACCATTAAGCACTCAACCATTTTTCGTGAAACAAACTTTATAATTAGAGACAGACTAACAATATACACAGAACAAAGCATAATAGATTACCAGTATGGTTTTAGAAAAGTAAGATCTACGATAGACGCTATACAAACGCTAAAACAAGTGATAGAGAAAACATACGAGTACGACGGAGAAACACATATACTTTTCCTAGACTTTAAACAGGCGTTTTAGAAACTAAACAGACAAGGAGATGTGCTTTTAACGGTACTATTTATTCTATCACTAAACAAGATAATAAAAAAGCTGTCAAACGCATTAACTATAAACAAGAATGCAGTACAAATAATAGGATATGCGGACGATATAACCATAGTAGCAACAGATAAAAAGGCACTAAAGAAAACCTTCCAAGAAATAGAAAACGAAACCAAACTGAGAGGACTGGAAATAAATGAAAATAAAACAAAATACATAAACACAAGCAAAAAAAGAAGACACAACTGATAGAACTGATAATAGATGCAGACAGTTTCGAAGAGGTTGACACATTCAAATAATTTGGGAGTGCTAGTCAACAGACGCACATAGTCAAGGATGTCACAGTGATAAACCGTTTCACAACAGGCAGCGATCACCGAATGGTGAAGGCTAGGATACAAATTAACAGCCAATTTGAAAGCAGAAAGAAAATCAAAAACATACAAAAACTAGATATGGAGAAACTTAGCCAAAACGAAGAAAAGTACAAGAAGAAATAAAAAAATGCATACCAAATACAACTGACTTAATAAATAAAGAAACAAACGAAATAAATGAAATACTAACAACTACGTTGCTACAGGCCGGGGAAGAATTGCAAAATCGACGACAAAAAAGGACAATTATATCTCAGAAGAAGTAGAAAACCTGATGAAGACAAGAAGAAGCCTACTTGAACAGGGCAAAAGAAACACAGTAGAATATACTGAAATCAATAAAACAATTAAAAAAAACATAAAAGAAACCAAGAGAAAAACGCAGGAAGTAAAGATTGAAAGAGTAATCCAGCAGAACAAAAATATGAAATGCTTAAAACAACGACTCAGTAAACCTCATATAAATGAAATGACAAACAGCGAAGGAACAACCATTAATGATATAAAACAAATAATAAAGTTGACACAAGAATAATATACGCACCTATACAGAACAAGACATAAACCACAGCAAGAAATTCTTAAACAATTAAACACAAAAATAAAAAATATAAATTCTGACCTACAACCAAAAATAAGTAAAACAGAAATCAAGAAAGCAATTCAAGAACTAAAAAACCATAAGTCACCTGGAAAAGATGGAATATCTGCAGATATGCTGAAGAGAGGAGGGAAAACAACTAGAGAAGTCCTACATATCCCCATGAACAAAATATTGACCACAAAAGAAATACCCGATAGCTGGAACGATGCGGAGACACTATTAATGTTCAAAAAAGGTGACCGAAAGAACTTAGAAAAGTATAGACTTATAACATTACTAAGTGTTGTGTTTAAACTACTAACGAAGATCATAACAAATAGACTAACAACTAAGCTTGACGAATACCAAGCAAGAGAACAAGCGGGATTCAGAAAGGGTTTTAGTACTAGCGACCTCTGCTAACAGTAAAAATACTGATTGAAAAGTCGAACGAGTATCAAATCCCATTATACATGGCATTCATAGACTTCCGAAAGGCGTTTGACAGCATAGAACATTGGGCCATCAAAAACTCACTACAGAACGGCAGAATTGATTACAGGTACACGGACCTAATAACAAACATATACAAAAATGCGAGTACCACAATAAAATTCAGGCAGGGAGACACAATATCGCCAAAATTGTTCAATCAGGCTATGGAAGACATATTTAAAAAATTAGAATGGGATATATACGGAATAAGAATAAATGGAGAACTCTTGAACCACTTGAGATATGCAGACGATATAGTCCTGATAACAGATAAGAAGGAAGAGTTACAGAAGATGGTTGAGGAATTAGATAGAAAAGCGACAGAGGTAGGTCTAGAGATGAACTATAATAAAACCAAGACTATCAAATCAGAGAAAAAACAAAGGTGAACGATGTATCAAGACAGGTTGCAAAACTTAAATGGAACTTCGCCGGTCACACTCTCCGGCAAAAAGATGAAAGATGGAATAAGCGAATTCTACACGGGAGACCATGGGAAAAGAAAAGAAAAAGAGGAAGACCACATATGAGATGGACTGACGATCTTAAGAGAACGGCAGGAAAGGACTGGATGCAGATTGTCCAAAATAGAGACCAATGAAGATTAACAGGGGAGGCCCATGCCCAAGAGTGGGCGTTTAAGGCTGATTAGATAGATAGTCAACAGAAGAAATCAAAGTATACGTATGAAAAGAAGAATGCAAGCGGGAAATACAGCGCTTTATAAAGCGAAATTCAAAAATGAAAATCTACAAAACGGCCATAAGTCCAATAGTAGTATATGCTGCAGAAACATTTAGATTAACAGCAAGAGAAGAAATTGAAAGCTTTTGAGAGGAAGACTATCAGAAAAATACTGGGACTACAGAGGGAAAACGAACAGAATGCAAGACATTGGATGAATCACGAAATACAAGAATGAATGGGCTAAGAGAACATAGTTAGAACAATGAAAGCACAAAGAATTATATAGAATGGAGACATAATGAGAACAGAGAAGAGCAATCCGTTAAGAATTATTACGGAATGGATACCACCAGGTAAAAGAACCAAAGGCAGACCTAAACTGAGATGGAGATAATAAGCGGAAGATTTAAGGAGTATGGAAATTAGAAATATACAAAGAATAATCAAAGCAATAGAATAGTCGAAGTCGAAATAGAATAATCGAAGACTGAAAAAGAGTAGGGGAAAGAGCGAAGTCACACCAGAAACTGTGAGACCATACCCAGAATGGGATGATCTCCCAAACAAAAAGGATCAAGTGAAAATAGCTTCATCTTCTTCTGGAGCGCATAACTTGTATATATATAATATTTCTGAATTTCTAAATGGTCGATATGACTGAGTCAAATAAAATTAAATTATTATTGGACCCTTTTGTATTGGATAAAGTACCGTTAACTCGTACATTAAAACTTTAATGAGCTGAGGAGTTTTTTATGAATTATGCTATATTACCTTTTATGCCCCATCTACTGTGTTTGAATAATACCATGTCGAAAAACTGTATCGTATGCTGTAGGTATGTCAAAAAATACTGCGATACATTTTTGTCCACATGCTACTACTTCAGGAATCTCAAATATTATCCAGTGTTGAAAGATTTGTCCGGAATCGGCTTTGTTGCAGGGCAAGTAATGTTTTATTTTCTAAAAACCACATTAATCTGTTACATATGATTTTCACGAGGACTTTACACATTACACAAGTTAGAGAAATAGGTATGTATGCATGATGCTTCAATTCTAAATAATAAAAAAATGTTTTTAATAGCAATACTCACAGTTTCTGGCTTAAAAGAGCTTATGGATATAATGGAGCATACCTGCAATAAGAATAAATACATTATATAAGATGTTTATTATACTACAATATAAACTAAATATTATACTACTTATTTTAAGATGAATCAAATCGAGGACTCGAATCTAATAAAAAAAATCTCATAAAAGTTAATATTGTTTTATATACATTTTATTACTGTATTGTATTTTTATATTGTAAAAAATTTTTGTCAAATCCCCAACGTAATAACATAAACCAGTGACGAAGAATTTCAAAATTATCTGAAATTTTCTAGTTTCAAATATTACCATTACATCCATCCTACGCTAATATCCAAAACTTAGACAACCATATAGGAGGGACAAAGAGCTCTGAAGCCTGGAGAACTATAAAAACGATGAGAACAACGACAAAAAACCAAGTCATAATAAATAGAATACCAGAGAACACATGGATAGAGCATTTTGAGAACTTATTAACAGAGAGAAGAGAAAGGTTTAAACAGACAAATGAACAAGTGCAAGTAGAAGGAAGAATAGAACTATCAATAGAACAAGTGAAGGAAGCAGTTAAGGGAATGAAATTAAGAAAATCTCCAGGCCCAGGCGGAATACATCCAGAGTTGATTAGATATGGATCATCAAAACTGCTTGAAATGATCCGAAAATTATTTGAAAGATGCTTAAACGGAGAAGAAGTTCCAGAAGAATGGAGACAATCGTATATCTCTCCAATACACAAGAAAGGCACAAAAACGGCTCCTAAAAACTATAGAGGGATCGCAGTGATTGCTACTATAGGCCGATTATACTCAAAAGTACTGAGAAACCTGATAGAAAATGATATTAACTATGGATAATATTTTCACATTAAAAATTGCAATGGAAAAAACGAGTGCAGAGAAATAGAGAAACCCATATAGCTTTAATAGACCTGGAAAAAGCATATGATAGTGTACCGATCTCCCAACTATGGATAGAAATGGATAACTTGAAAATAAACCCAATTCTTATTAACGCCACTCAAAAATACTACGAACAAAACTTTGCAAGAATTAAAATGGGACAAGAAATCACCTCTCCTTTTCAAACAACAAAGGGACTAAGACAAGGGTGCTGTCTGTCACCCACCTTATTTAAAATTTATTTGGACAGATCCTTAGTGAAATGGGTAAAAAAATGTAGAAACATGGGAAGAAAAACACGCTGTATACACTTTTCTTTACGGATGACCAGGTAGTAATTGCCGAAGATAGCTACGACCTTAGCTATATGGTAAGAAAACTGCAAAAAGAATGTGAGGTGGCAGGTCTAAACATGAATATGACAAAATGTGAATATCTATCAGTTGGAACAGATGAAATATGTGACCTAGTCTTGGAAGACGACAAAATCAAAGGCGTACAATCCTGCAAATATTTGGGGGTCATTTTCAATAAGAAGGGAAATAGCGCAGATGAAATCAGGGAAAGAATAAACAAGGGTAGAGCAGCGACCCGTGCCTTAAACTCTCTTCTCTGGCAAAAAACAATTCGACGAGAAACCAAAAAACAAATTTACGGTAGTAATATTACACTTTACGGTTCGGAAGTATGGGACGTCACCAAAGCTAATAAAAACAAACTTATGACGACAGAAATGGATTATTTGAGACGAAGCTGCGGTAGATCGAAACTAGAAAGAGTTAGGAACGAACAAATAAGAAATGAAATGAAAATGGAGCGAATTATCAATGATGACATAGAAAGAAAACAATTAATCTGGTTCGAACATGTTAAAAGAATGCCAGAGTACAGATGGCCTAAAAGAGTACTGGAATGGATCCCTCCTGAAAGAAGAAAGAGAGGACGACCACGGAGAAGTTGGCGCAACGATATTGATGAAGCAATGGCGGCAGGAGACTTAGAAGAGGCAACTGCGTACGACAGAAAAAGATGGAAATTGGGGGCGGAGAAGCGGCGACAGCCGTAATCAATCCGTTATTATATATACATCCATCCTACGGTTCTACAGCTTAATTTGAGTCCTGGCCTACATTAGCAAACCTCTCCATTCGTTACAGTCTGTAGCCATTCTTCTCCACAATCGACTGCCAAGGAGATTTCTTGCATCCTCATCCAAATCATCAGCTTATTGCTTTCTCAGTCTTCCAGTTTTATTAGAAGTCTGTTTTCTTCCATCCTAAATCCTAAAGATTTTATTTCTATTCTCAATTTCGACTCCATTTCAGCTCTAGGTCAACACCATCTTCATACAGGTCACAAAATTGATTTTGAAAACTCCAGAACCCTAGCCCTCATCCGCTTCTATAAAAGAGATGGCGGCATACGGTTACCTACGACTTGAAGATATCATAAAGAAAATATTGTCCGCTCTCCGTCGATCTAAATCCTACTGTCTGAAATGTTCGCGACAACCCCCGCGGCAACCACCCCGGCAATCCCCATGCCAACGCTCACGTCAACCTCCACCCAAACATTGGTTAGTGGTCAGTGTAGTAGCAAAGAATATAGACGCTTATAGCGTCTATATTCTTTGGTAGTAGTGTCTGGTGGCTCGAAAGAATGGCGGTCATAAAGAATATTTATTGGTTGGTGGATTCCCATTTAAACCTCTGAAAGGAAGAAGCAATTTACCTAAAAGAATACTTCTTTGAAGAAGAGTTTTAGAAGAGCTTTGATTGTTATTGTAAAAATTACGGTTAAAGTAGTTTTTTTAACGTAACATCCATTATTATTTTTTGTTAATCGGTAATTATGATTTAAGTTATATTTAGTAATATATTCCTCCATTTTCTCCAGTACTACCTAATTAGGAGATTTATTACCCCATTAGAAGTTTTACTAATACGACAATATTCAGAATTTTGTCATTTACATCTGTTGTTTATTACTTTATAAGATAAAATTTTCTGGATTTTATTTACCGATGTTTGAAAGATTGTTGATCGGAATATAGTCCAATTCCGACCGATGAGTGACCAGTATACCACTCGCTAATCATATCAATCATGGCAATATTACAATTTATTACTTTCTAGGTGCATTTACCTCAGTCAATGATGTGCTGCCGAGAATACCCGAAGAACTGAGGGATGAATACTTGGAGGATTACCATAAAGAAATCGATAAAGATATTAAGATTATGGTAAAAGATGGAGAACAAGTACCATATTTAAATATGAAATTATTTGTTGCTATAATGAACAAACAGGAATAAATACTTTATTTTATTAAATCTGTTTTTTTATTATGTACTTTTTCATAACAATTTACACAGTGTGGTGAAGTGTGAAAGGTGAAATCAAAATTAAAGAACGAATTGGACTAGTATACTGGGAGGTATACTGGCAGTTAATATGTAACTACTGCTTTGAAAGGAATGATAGTCTAAGTCAATATGCAATTGGAAAGATAGAGAGAGTATAGAATAGTAGATCCTTGTGACCGTTTTGCCCTTCTCCAGTTAGTTAATGTATATCATATCTTGGGAATCTCCTGAAAACGAGTTCCATTACCTTTCCAACCAATAGGACAGTCTTCGCCGTCTTCAGAGCACGTTCTCCAGGTGCCGTCACTTTTCCGAGTGTTCCTTGGTCTCTGGTGTGTACCTACAAGTGGATCCATGGTTCATCGACGGTTATGAAACGACGTAGAAACTCCTTCGAATTACGCATAAAGAGCGGAAATAGATTTATGCTGGATATAATCCACGTCTTTTCAGATACCTACTGTCTCAAGTATCCCTCAGGCGGCAGTCTGTCAATGTTGATACTAGCCGTTTTCAAGAATGTATTACATAACAGCAGATTTCTCTTGCAATAGTAACGCTTAAGTACTTAGCTTATTACCCAACAGGGTACTATTTCACCTTATTTCTCTGAATTATAGTGGATAGTTGAGGTTAACTGAAAAGAATAAGCCTTCTACACAAATCGCTCCAAGGAAGTCAACTTGTTTACACTGTGTCCTAGATCTATTACTTCCTGTTCCTCTTCTCCAGTTTTTTCCTTTCAAGGATCGCTGTTCCTTACGCTTGATCGCCACTCATTTCTGTTCCTCGGGTCTTCTTCACCCAAACCTTTCTCTCTCTCAAGTCCTTCGACATACAGTCCTTCCATCTTCTTCTCGGATTTCCTCTACCTCTCCGTCCATCGATTTCTATAAGCTCTATCCTTTGTCCCACAAAGTTTTCATCTCTACGTCTAACTTGACCAAACCATTGTAGTATTTGTTCTTAAATATTTTTGACACTGGAGTTACCCCGGCTCTTTTTCTAATCAAGTCGTTCCTGGCCCTGTCCTTTTTGGTCTAACCCAAAATCCACTGTAACATTTTCATTCCAGCTACGTCCATCTTCTTTTCCTGAATCTTCTTTACATGCCACACTTTATCACCGTACAATAAAGCAGGTATCACCACACTCTTGTGTATCGTTACTTTCAGAGCAAGATTTTTCGATCACAAAGTACCCCGCTTATTCGCTTCCAGTTAAATCAGCCAGCCTCTATCCTGTAGGAAATTTATCGATCTGGTGTGCCATTTTCCGTTATGTAGGAGCCAAGGAATTTAAATTCTCCTACTCTTTCTAGTTTTCCTCCGAGCAATTCCCCAACCATTCCTCTATCTCCTAATCACATATACTATGTGTTCGGCCTGCTAAGCTTTTTTCTCATAATAGCCCTTCTCCAACCCACCAACATATCTTTGCTGTTCCTCTACTAACAAGATATCATCAGCAAAGAGCATTGACAATGGAGCCCCCTCCCTTACTTTCTCTGTCAGTATATCCATAACACGATTAAACAGGTAGTGGCTCAGTGAAGAATCTTGATGCAAACCAACTGTTACTAAAAAAACTGTCGATCAATCCGACACAAGTCCTTACTTTGGTGTATGCCCCGTCATACATATCCTTCAACTACATATCCTGGTCTTCAACTAGAGAGTCTATAGCTATTTTGTTCTGCATCAAAAGTTGTTTTATTTATTATTCATGTAAGGAATTTCTACCAGTATTTATCGAGACTTGTAGAAATGCACAGTAAACATTATATCTGAGCTTGGATATTTGCAAGGGTCACTTGAATAGCTACACGTAAAGCCCCTTAGCAGAGCGTACGGGGCGAGTTGACGATGTTAGAAGTCTGACTCCACCTAGACAACAGTATGTATCCTTATCTTCCTCTCTTTTATATCATCCTCTCTGCCATACCTCCTTCTAGCCTCTTTCTTTTCTTTAACCTTCCGTTGCACCTCATCGTTCCACCAGCAAGTTTTATGTTTCTAGACCCTTACCCTAGCCTAGGCTAGGAGGCTTCCTTTCGCACCTTTACTTTACTGTTGGCTTCCCACCAGTCAGTTATCGTTTTTTTTTCCTCAGTAATCTTCCAGAGAACCTACAGAATACTGCTCTTAAAGAATCTTGCCAAATCCGTATCCTTTAACTTCTACCACGAGAAAGAATTCTTTCTCGTGTCGTATTTGCTTTCCTTTTCGCCTCACCTTTACCTCCGTATCTACTATCACCGGTCGGTATTAACTAGCTACACACTCACCCCTTATAACTTTATAGTTGGTAACCTCTTTTAGCTGACTTCTTCTACACAGCACAAAAACAAAATATATCTGAGTTTTCCTTCTCCCACTACTATAGGTAACATACTGGTGTTCAGTTTTGCTAGAGAACGCATTAATAGCAGCCAAATCCCATGCCACTGCAAAGTCAATAACACTATTTACTTTATTATTTATTATTCTCATCCTTAAACCATCGCGAACTCTTTCTATTCCTGCTCTCTTTTTACCAATATGTCCATTCCAATAATCTTCAATAAAATACTTTTCGTCCACAGGAATCTCGAGCATTTCACAATAAAGGGCATTCTTCCTTTTCCTGTTCTTCGCACTCCGATGTTCGCATATGATATTCATGATGGTATTGACTGTATTTAGTTAGACACTTATTATTCAATCTCACTTCTTCTGGTGATCCTTACAAGATATTCCTTCCACCCGTAGTTCAAAATAATACCTACTCCATTTCTGCCGTAACTTTTAGAAATACTATATATTAATTTGCATCCATCTCCAAGATCTCTCGACTTAATATTTTTCTAACGAGTTTCCTGCACACAAAGTTCACCAATCCTTTTCCTCTGTGGGAAATTTTCTTTTACCTGGCATACTTCCGACATGCGATTTACAATTCTCAGATCTATTACAAACCATATAATCATTTTCGGTTAAAACAGATGTATATTTATAATCTGTTTAATGTTTTAAGTCATTTATCATACAGTATGCATTGTAACGTTAAGGTTAATTAAAAAACTACAGCTAATAATAGTATATTACTTTATGAGGCGGAGAAGCATGACTTTTCTTGACGCGCCCGATATTACGCGCCGAACGAAGTGAGGCGCATAATAGAGGGCAAGTCAAGAAAAGTCGCTTCTTTGCCAAATAAAGTATACTATTTTTTCTTCAAACATAGCAATTTTCAACCATAAATAGTATAATTCATACGCTATATTTACTCGAAATTAACTGTGACAACTATCAAAGTCGTCTAGATGTTAGAAATTAAAATAATTAAGTCGTCGGTGGGATTTGCGTCTCCCTGGTTACAGTTGTTTAAGAGTTGTTTGCAATAAAGACAGCTTATTGTTGTTGCAACGGCAAGCGCAAATTTAGTGCGAAAATGGAAAACCTAAACGAAATTGAGTCCGCGGCTAATGATGCAGTAGCACGTTTGGGGCCCTCAAAGTCCGGAATGAAGTATCGGTTAGCGTACAAGCACTTCCAAGAGTGGTGCGATACAAGAGGAGTACGGCAAGTTACCGAAGACGTTTTACTGGCATATTTTAATATAATGGAAAATGAAAATAAATAGAAATCTTCTACAATGTGATCACGATACACTATGATAAAATTTGAGTTAGTTATTAGAAAAAATGTCGATGATATAAGCAAATTTTTAAAGTTACGTGCCTTTCTGAAAAAAACAAGCAAAGGATATACTGCAAAGAAGTCTAAAGTTTTCACTAAAGACGAGTTTGATAAATTTTTGTTTGAAGCGCCAGATAAGTTGTATTTAGGATTAAAGGTAAAAAAAATTATATTGCAAAGCATGTAGTATACTCTACTAAATTATAAAAATATATCAGATTGTTTTGTTAATTGGGGTTACTGGCGCATGTCGATGCGACGAAATGGTAAAAATGAAGACTGTGGACATTAAGGATAAAGAAAATGTAATAATTATCAAAATTTCAGACAGTAAAACACGACAAATTAGATCTTCTACGATAATTGGTCAAAACTACATTAAACTGTATAAAAAGTATGCATCACTGCGGCCTGAAAATTTCACAGAAAACCGATTTTTTATCAAGTACCAAAATGGAAAGTGTTACCGAAGCGTCATGGGAGGAATACATTCGATCAACGCAGTAGCTAGTTATTTAAATTTAAACGATGCAAGCGCATACACGGGTCACTCTTTACGACGAACTTTAGCAACACTTTTAATTGATGGAGGCGGAAATCTAGAATGCCTCAAACGACATGGGGGCTGGAAATCAAGCACGGTTGCCGAAGGATATATAGAGGATTCAATAAGAAATAAGAACGATAATGCTCAAAAGATTTTAAACCCTCATGATTCGCCAACATCGGGAATGATTGCTGAAAGTTGTTCTCGACCATCAGTATCATCAACAATTAACAATGCATATCAAGAGTCGGGAACATTTTTACACGGTTTCAATTTTGAAAATGCCTCATTAACTAATTGTACTTTTAATATTACTATAAATAAAAATGATGTTTATTTGTTGTTAATGACATTTGTATTGTTGCTTTGTGACATGTTTCATATTGTTGCCATGACAACATTTTTCCCTCCGCCGTAAAGAAATGGGAAAAAAAGCTGCTGCCGGCGCGGCGGAGACATCAAACTTTGACAGGATCAAGTTAGATAAGTAATGTCATCATTATTTTACGTTTGAAGAAAAAATAATTTCCCTATCACATTCGATTTTTTTTTTCAATCCAAGTGAGAGAGACGTTAAAAAAATTGTAGAGCACGGTTATTTGTATCTTGCCGCCTAATGTAAATAACATTTAAGTATATGTTAATAATAAATTATAATGTATATAAAAATCTTAATATTAATTAACCTGCAATGAAATTAACAAATATTTAGATTTTTATTTAAAAGCAACAAATCTAGCTAGTTTCGACCAGTGAACAGTTCACAATTTTACTCATCGGTTGATTAGACATAGCTCTCCTTTAAAATGATTCCCGAGTTATGGGCAAAGGGAAATATTGCTACTCAAATCCTAACGAAACAAAAATTACAGAAATACGGACATCTACTGAAATGGAAAAAGAATGAAACGATTCTCGAGTTTGGAGCGGCAGATGGAAATACTTCAGTTAACTCACTGCTACCAATCTTACCAAAAGATTACAAAGAATATGTTATAACGGATATATCACCTAACATGGTAGAACATATGAAAAAAACTTTAAATATACCCAGAAGTAGGATTATACAACATGATATTGCTACCGTAAGGCTTCAAGAAGAAATGAAAAACAAGTTTGACCACATTTTTGGTATATTTGTGTTGCACATGGTGCCAAATCCCAGGTAAGACCTTTTGCTTTTTTTGTATGTTCAAATTTAAAAAGAATATTTAAATAATAGGTATATCACTTTTTAACAATTTTTGAGCACTGCTATTTTCGTCTACCGCTTCCTTTTTTCTGTCTCCGTTTATTTTACTCTATTAGGTGTAGTGTTGCCCAAATGCAAGAACAAGACGAGACTTAGACAGTCTTGGTCTTGGTCTTGCCTAAATGGTTCCAAGTCTTGGAATGCCTAAACAACTGACACTGGGTGGGGTTTGAACCCACGGTCTAAGCGATCCGTGCCTATGCTCTAACCAGCTGAGCTATCTACCATGTCCCACGGGAGTCAATCTGTTTCTTAATAAGCGTTTGCTTTTAACAAGATTACATATGCACAAAACATGGTTAAAAAACAAAACAACCAAATTAATGACATAAACTTGACTGTATTTTAAAGAAAATTATTTGTCTAGAAAGGGATTGATGGACCCTCACCTTATATGAAATGGAATAAAATAGTTATATAATTTGCCATTTATTTAAATAAAAAATAAAATACAATACAGTGCACAATAGACTTTCACATTACTAATACTTTAAATTTATTCCTTTGACCAAGAATTAATACAAAGTAACCATCTTGCTGACTCATCACTTAACCTATTTCTATGTTTTCTAATTACTAACGATGCTTTAGAAAATAATCTCTCAGCAGGTACTGAAGTTGCTGGTATTAAAAGAAAATCACGGGCCATATTCGATAAAGTCGGATATTCTGTCTTATGCTTCCTTCACCACTCTAAAATGTCTTCCCAGTTAGCAGCTCTCAGATGAAGTCGAGGAGCATTCATACAGTTTCTCAAAGTCTATTAACTCTTTATCTTTATCATATTCAGATACTTTCTTTTCATTTCTTGGTGATTTTAGAGATTTATTTACTGGGTGTAGAATTTTATATTCTTTGTAAAGTTTATTAAATTTTCGCAGGCTTTCTGTTTTAATTTGCTTCCCCCATAACGTCATGTCAAAAGTCTGAGCCTTATGCCTTGGCCTAAAATTAAAGAGATACAATAAATCCAGTTGCTCTTCTTATAATGTTTAAGCATTTTGTCTCGTGCTGCTTGAAAACCAATAATGAGCCTATTATCCACTTCAAATCGATTAGGTTTCTCATCTAATTGTTTTACGATGGATTCAATTTTATCGAGCAAGAGATTGAATGATACAATCACTAGTGGTAAGGTAACATATTTTTCTCCATCAAGTTTTGTTGATAAAAGTTTAAAGTTTATTAGAAACCTATGTACTTTTTCAAGCGTTTGCCATTCACTATCTGTGATGTTAAAATCGTTCAATTGTCCGTTTCATTGTCAGTGTTACTGTATAATGCTAAGGTATTTAATAGATCTTGTACTTATCTTGTACCGAATAAAAAATCGAGAATTATTATCATTATTTCGTTACTTTTAATATATCGGTATTTTGTTTACACTGTAATCGACATTATCTCTTTGTTTGTTTATCTCGTTACTTTTGAATATTAGCCGCATTCTTTCAGCAAATTTTGAATGGTATCATCGCATACTCAGCAAAAAGGATGTTTAGTCTTAGCCGATAAGATTTGTGTTATTTAAATTCCTCGTTACTAAATTATAAGGAAAAAAACATGCTAACCTAATTATATTTTTTATCAGCTAAGGTGATACATTCTTAAAAAGTTTCGATACGATATTACTGTCGGCGTCGCAAAGCAAAGGTAATATTTTATTATTAGAAGGGGTTATTCTCAAAATCTGGACAATTAATTTCAGAGTGAAGAAGTAGTGTGCTGGGAAAGAATGTACAAAATATTTTATTTTTAGATTGTAATTATGGCCTCTGAGTACGTGTCAAATTTTTAAGTGTTCTTGTAATGAATATTTTGATTTGCTATGTATGTTTATGGTATTTTTCGTAATGCACAAGTCAAATTTTTCAAATTTTTGGTAATAGTTCTTTGCGTCTCATGTCTTTGCGTGTTTTTTTTAATGAATATTTTGATTCGGTATGTATGATTATGGTATTGTTCGTAATGCGTATAAGTCCAGTTTTTCAAATTTTTATTACATATTTGTTTGCATCTCATAGAGTCTCTAAGCATAAACCCGAACTATTGCACTCTTTAAAACCACACTCAGTCTTAACTGCAAGACGCAAGAGTCTTGCAGGCTTAGTCTTGTTCTTTCTCAAGTCTTGCAAGGTTAGTCTTGGTCTTGGTCCTGCAAAAATTAAACAGTCTTGGTCTTGGTCTCGGTCTTGCAAAAACGCAAGAACAAGACCACGACTGCAAGACCAAGACCGATTTTGGGCAACACTAATTAGGTGTCACATTTGGCTAAATTATATTATTTTTTTATTCACCCATGTGTATCTTGTGTACATTTTAGTTAGTTTTTGTAACATTATTTTTATGTCTTCCTGAATTTGCTGCCTTATTTATCTTTACAATACTGATAAGATTGGTTAAGGCTACAATGCGTAAAGTTGTTTGCAAACTCGAAATACAGGGCGAACAATCACAGGCATTTGAAACGGATGTTGGGCTGAGATAGGGAGATGCGCTGGTGTGTCTCCTTTTCAACATAGCTAAGGAAAAAGCGGTCAGGGATGGCCAAATAGACAACAGAGGAAACATTTTTAATAAATCATCCCAAATTTTGGCATATGCAGATGATGTTGACCTAGTTGCCTGCACAACACGCAAACTAGAAAAAATGTATATCACCTTGTCAAATGCTTAAAAAAATATGGGTCTGTATGTAAATGAGGAGAAAACTAAGATAATGGCATCAATACCCAACAATAGAGCTAGAAACATCAACCACCACTTCACTGTTGATAACTCTACTTTTGAAGTGGTGGACAAATTCACATACTTAGGCTACCTGATCACCAAGGAGAACGTCATGACGGAAGAAATTAAGCAAAGAATAATCCTAGCAAACGAATGCTACTTTGGATTGAGTAGACATATGAGAAGCAGAAACTTAAGCCAAAAAAACAAAAATAACCATATACAAAACCCTTATACAGCTAGTGTTGACATATTGATCGGAGATATGGACCATTTCCAAGGCAGATGAAAACCTCCTGCTTATATTTGAACGAAGGATCCTGAGAAGAATATTATAAGAAGAAGAATATTATATAAGGTATATCACAGATATAAATCTATATTTGGTGGTAAAGACGTAGTATCTCTTATAAAAATAGGAAGACTAAGACCTAAGACTAAACAACCCTCCTAGAAGAATCCTTATGTCACAACCTGTGGGAAGTAGAAGTAGGGGTAGGCCAAAACTCAGATAGAGGGATGGTGTAGATGAGGATGGTAGAAAAATAGGCGCAGCAAACTGGCAACAGTTGGCAATGGATAGAACTGACTGGCGTAATAGACTTGGGAAGGTCGAGGCTCTTTTATTGGGCTATAGCACCAATAATGATGATTTATCTTTAAAATAGTCTCTGAATCCATTTCTTTCTCGGTTCGTCTTTTTCCTTTTTATGGCAATTTATTTTAATTTAATTTGTTTATTTTAATGTAATTAACTTTAGATTTAATTTATGTATTCTATTGCCATATCTATTGCGTGGAAGAAAAGACGAAGGGTCCATTTTTTTATCTGATAAATATGCGATATAAGCCTAATAAAAAATCCATTTTATCTACACCGCCCATAGAAGAATTATAACGTTTGATTACCTCTGGTCTTTCAACATCTACAAATGTTTGTTTTTTATTTTGTCCCATCTTTTAACGATATCTTTATCTCCAATACCAACAAAGTTAGATGCCATATTGACTATTCTGTTATCAAACCATTTGACTAAAATAACGTCACCGTCTTTACTACAGAGCTGTTCTATGTAACCCCTGGGTTTCTTGGACAATTCTTTTTCACTGATTAAAGGTGGTTTTCCAAATTTATTCAGTCTGGCAGTTCCGGCACAATAAATTTTATTCTGTTTTAGATATATTAAGGGACATATCTGTTCGTCGACACATAACTTCTGCTCATGTTCTAATTCTCGGCATCTTTTCAAAACGGCATCAAAAATTGGTCGAACTTTAACAACATCTGTATTATCTGGATCTTTTTCTAAGTTATTTACTATGTGTAAATATGTTCTGAGTTTATAGAATGTGTTTCTGGACATAGTGTTTATAAAAGTGCTCATACCTATAGCATTATTCCAATATAAATGTATTCTAGGCAGTTTCAAACATCCCATTATGATATGTAAACCTATAAGGATCTCAATATCTTTTGAATTCGTGTGTGCAAAATTAAAATCGTTACATTGCTGGGCATACAGATTTGTTTTCTCTGCAACATTTTCTTCTGTATCGCTATGTTCATCTTGAGGTTTGGTCCAATTTTGCATTGCTAGTGGGGCAGTTTGTCTTTCTGTCCATTGAATTTGGTTTTTAGTCGTTAAATACGCAAAAGTATTTTCATCATTTCAATTGATAGTATCTTCTCCTATTACACCTACGTTATCGAATATTTCATCTTCTCGAAGATCATCTCCTCGAAGCTCATCTTCATTATTGTCATCTTGTGGATCCATTGCAGCAACTATGTCTTCAATGCGGCTTTCCACATTTTCTGCTTCTTCAAATAGATCTTCATCACCAGCTTCACCTTCGGACAAATCGGAGAGATCCGAAAAAACCCCGTTGTCTAATTTCTGCATCAAAATTTTCACATATTTGTCAACTCTCACGTCTCGCAAAAAAATCTATGTTTTTGAGTTTCTTAAGCCTGCAAAGAAAAATTTTGTTGTAACTTTTGCCTGTAATCAACACACATTTGATTCAAATCCAAAATAGCCTCTGAATACAGCTGTGCACGATTGTGTACACAAACAACTAACTGAAATTTACCTTCTAGTACAATTGTACACGATCCTGTACATAATGTTTTATACAGTTTTTTCAAAAACTTTACCACATAATGATGAGATTATATCAAGAAATATTCCGTAAACATTCATAAAACCATGCAGTATAATAAAACAGAAACAACGTAACTGTATAAAAATAAAAAATATATAAATGAAAGGTACTCACTTGATCCACAACTTTTGTTGGTCGCCATGTTGGTTGGTAATGATTATTTAAACCTATTTTTCATAGATGTAGCCAGTGGCTTCAAATTATATTAAAGAAGTGTACCTGATTATGCAAGAAAAAACAACAGAGATTGAGAGAAAATACAAAAAATTAGAAAAAGGGGTACCAAGGAAAATCTGTACACTACAAAAACAAAAGTAGAAGAAATTTAGTAAGTGACGAAGAAATATTGAGCAGATGGAAAGAATACTTTGAAGAACTTTTAAATGAAATTCCAACAACAGAATATGAAGGGGAAGAAGAAGTGAAGGAAAATGTCGATCAAGAACGAATAGAAGAAAGACCGCCTAACGAAAAAGAAATAAAAAAAATAATAGAGAATCTAAAGAATAATAAGAGCCCAGGAAGAGATGAAGTAACAGCTGAAATGTTTAAATATGGAGGACCAGTACTAATTAAGCATTTGGAAAAGTTGCTAAAAGACATATGGGAACAAGAAAAATTACCGAAGGAATGGACCGAAGCGACACTGCGCCCTTTTCACAAAAAAGGCGACAAAAGTTTATGCCACAATTACAGGGGAATAGCTCTACTAAATGTTGCATATAAAATACTTGCAATATATATATATATATATATATATATATATATATATATATATATATATATATATATAAAAGGTAAGCTATCTCAAAATATAGATAATGACATATGGGAATATCAATGTGGATTCAGAAGAGGGCGCAGCACAGTGGATCAAATTTTCCTACTGCGCGAAATACAAGCAGAAAGCTACGAATATGGGAAACCTACAATGGCCCTATTCATCGACTTTAAACAAGCGTTCGATAGGATAAAACGCAAAGAAATATAAAAAGCACTACGTGAAATGAGAATTAGTGAAAAACTGATAAGAATGGTAAAAGTGACACTACGAAGAACAGAGAATAGGGTTAAAATAAATGGCGAAGAAACAGATAAGTTTGAGGTCAGTGAGGGGGTGCGACAAGGAGACCCACTGTCATCGCTGTTGTTCAGTATCGTCCTCGAAGTTACCATCAGAGAAGCTGGAATCAACAGGTCGGGACTTATATATCAAAGAAAACATCAATGCTTAGCATTCGCTGACGACATTGTACTGATAGCCAGAAGTACGCAAGAATTAAAAGAAATAACAAAAAGATTAGAAATAAAAGCGAGAAAGAAAAGGATGTACATAAATGAAGAAAAGACCCCAAATATATGGAATGGACAGAAAGAGATTACCTACAAGAACAATATCTGACAGTAATAACAGATGAAAAAACATATAAATTCGAAGAAGTAGAAATATTCCAGTATTTAGGAGCGACATTCACGAGAAGACCAAATATGAAGGAAGAAATCCAAGCGAGAATTATGGCCGGTAACCGTTGTATTTTTGCACTAAACAATTTATTAAGAAGCAAAAACATATCTAGAAGGGCTAAGATAAGAATATATAAGACAGTAATAAGACCTATTGTATTATATGCCAGTGAAACATGGACAATGAAAAAATCCGAGCAAGTCCTGCTGCAAGTCTGGGAAAGAAAAGTCCTCAGGAAAATATTTGGAGGTAAAATATGGAATGGTATATGGATAAAAAGACCAAATATGGAATTAGAGGAGATGTATGGAGAACCAAATATCGTAGGGATCATAAAGTCATAAAGACTGAGATGGTTGGGACACATCCAAAGGATGGGAAACACGAGACTGCCAAAAAGAATGCTAATGGGAGGAATAGGAGGGAAAAGGAAGAAATGCAGACCGAAAACCAGGTGGAAGAAGGATGTTGAAAAAGACATAGAAAAACTTAAAATACCAAACTGGAAAAATAAAGCAACAAACAGAAAATAATGGAAAAGAATAGTAATCCAAGCCATGGGCCTTCTAGGCCTGGAGAGCTAAATTATATTTATATATATATATATATATATATATATATATATATATATATATATATATATATATATACCTGATCATGTACAAATGGTTTTTGCGGAATACATATATAAGTTCTCTTATTTCTTAAGGTTTGAAATCCATGTACACGATTGTGTACACCAGTAGCGAAAGGGATAAAAGACTCAGTACTTAAAAACAAACTAAAGCTTACAAAATTAACTATCTATCAAATGTTAAAGTAAAATAATTTTACAATCTACGACAATACATGAATCTAATTTATATTTTTTAATTTAGGCAGAGTTTCGCCAACGTCAAGGAAATGCTTAAGCCAGGCGGTCAAGCATTTATATCATTCTTGGAGCGCGGACCGCTGGATAACGCTTTTCACCGTTTGCTAAAATATCCGAAATGGTCAAGGTACGGGCACCAGCTGTCTGCTCATTATTATAGCGACAATATTGAAGAATCATATAAAAAAGATATTGATGCTGCTGGGTTTGAATCCTATTCATTTTATGTCCAAAAGGACTACCCGATCTGGTATGATAACGATGAAGAAAGAAGAAGTAAGTATACATTTAACATCCTAGTACACAGCCTTCTATGGGTGTGTAAAATTTGAATCATTTCTATTCACTTTTATTGCGGTGTTGACACCTGAAAAAGCTTTGAATTGGAAAGAACGACGATCCTTTCTAAAATCCGAGATGCCGTCGTAAATGTGTTACAATACCTTGGTAACTAAATAATTGTTGATCATCATCATCACCCAGCCCTTTGCGTCCACTGCTGGACATAGGCCTTCCTCACTTTTGCCAATTGTGCTCTATCTTGAGCACTTTTCATTCAATTTCTTGACATTTTCTTGAGATCTGTCTAACCTTGGCCTCCACTCAAGCAATCTTGTCGTCCACCTTTCATCACTCATTCGGGCAACGTGTCCGGCTCAGTTCCATTTCAGTATGGCAATTCGGGAAATTACATCGGTAACTCCTGTTCTTCGTCTTAATTCTTCATTTCTAAGTCGGTCACGAAGCGATATACTCAGCATTGACCTTTCCATTTTCTTCTGAGCTATTTGCAGCGTTTTAAAAGTTATGGCTGTCAATGTCAAAGTTTCGACACCTTAGGTCATCCACCAACTCTACTTGGTTGTCTTCAATATTGATATTTCCGCTAGGTACTAGGTTTGTCATGAATTTTATTTTGGACATGTTTATTTTAAGACCCACACTGGCACACACTAACTGAAGTTCATGTAGCATTGTACATATCTCCTTGAGGTTGTGCGAGAGCAAAAGTATGTCGTCTTCGAATTTCAAATTTGTTAATCTTCTACCGTCAATGTTTCTTTTCTTTTTCTTCCCAGTTAAGTTTTTTACAAGCATATTTTAGTACTGCGGTAAACAGTTTATGCGATATCCCTTTTTACTCTTCTGCCGATTGGAATATGATCCGTTTTTTATGTAGTTTCACCGACATAGTTGCGTTCTTGTATGTATTGGAAATTAACCTTGTATATCGGTGGTTAATGCGACATGCTTATAGTCTTTCCAGGATTTTGTCAAATTCGGCTGTGTCAAAGGCTTTATGGAAATCTACAAAAGCCAGAACGAGTGGTCGATTATATTCGATAGTCTTTTCTATTACCGTTTTAATGCTCTGTAGGTGATCATTTATACCAAATCCGGTATAAAATCTCGCTTGCTCTATTAGCTGGTAGAAATCGTTAGTTTTTTCTAAGACGATTCGTTACTATACAGTGGTACAGAGAGCAAGATTTGAGTCTGCTTTGCTTGTTTCCCTCATTTTCAAGGTATTGTTGATCAGTTGGGTTCGCGTTTTGTGCTTTTTGTACATTACAGTATTACATTTATTTTTACAACCATCCCACACACTTCCACAATTGAAAAATCTGAAGATTCGTTTAAAGCTAGTCGAGGCTAGTTTGACAACTTTAGAAAAAGGACCGGCATTCACTCCATCGTCAGGCATGCTGAGGCAGCAACTTCTGATGTGAAAGTAGCTGAGGTTTACATCAAAACGTTTTTCGAACTGATCATAGCTAAAGGATACATCCCCAGCAAGTCTTCAACTGTAAAGAGACAGGGCTTTTCTGAAAAAAAAATGTCAAATAGGACTTACATAACGGCAGAGGAGAAGACTTTGCCAGGTCACAAACCTATGAAAGAGAGATTAACTGTTGATCGTGAATCGGTATTGTTCAACGAAACTTGTCTAACACATTTCCGCAATATTCCTCCGCAAACCTCCTTGGACAGTTTTTTAAACGATCTGCAAATGAAAATGAGTAAAGTGTGACGAAAAAAGCGAAGACCACTGATGAAAATTAAGCGCTTCCGTAAGCACTTCACTTTCTTATGTTTTTACAGAATATGTAAAAAAAATATATATATCTATCAAATAATGCAAATCTCAATCAAAACGTTTTCATGAATAGGCTCATAACTAAATCATGGAAATTATATAGAATAGCAAATAGTTCAAATATGTCTCAATTAGAGTTAAAATCTTATTTGGCAGTCTGTCTGATGAAATGCGAAGACGATCCTACAAAAAGTACCAGCATTGGGAGGCTACCCAGAGAACTCGTTCCATCAGAAGAAAGATTTTATAAAATGTGACATTCAACAACAAAACATGCTGATAAGGCTCGAAAAAAATGCAAAGAATGTAAAAATCATACTATTTACCTTTGTATAAAGTGCAATATACAAGTGTATGCAGGTTGATTTGAAAAATTGCATAACATAAATTAAATTAATTTTTTTGGTTTGTACAAATTATGTTCTTAGATTTGGACAATGGTGCATATACGCATCATGCTGTAAGTCAAACATTTTTAAAAATATGTATTCCAATTTTTTTTATACGTTTATTGCCAATAGCTCTCACTGACATAGAAAAGTAAAAATTTAAGATTTTTCTTGGTTTGTTCGGGAATGGGTTAATACTATATGAGATAAAATTTTCTGGATTTTATTTACCGATTTTTGAAATATTGCTGACTGGAATCTGCTTTGATTTAAGTGACGAGTATACCACTCACTGTGCATAGCAAAAATTAGAATAGTACATATACCATTTATTGTTTTCTAGGTGCACTTACCTCAGTTAATCACGTGCTGCCAAGGATACCTGATGAATTAAAAGATGAATACTTGGAAGATTACCATAAGGAAGCCGGAAAAGATCTTAAGATTATGGAAAAGGATGGAAAACAAGTACTATATTTTAATCTGAAATTATTTGTTGCTATAATGAACAAACATAAATAAATGTATTAGTTAAATATTCTCTGGATTTTCTAATTTATGTATTTTTTTATAAAAATTTACACAATATGGTGAAGTGTAGAAGGTGTCAACAAAAATGGAACGAGAAATTATATAATAAAATTGAATCGGTTAGATAGACCAGGGCGGAACTGTTTTGAGATGTATGTGAGAGGTGGCATTCTGATTTTTTCAGAATTAGTTGTATGATAACTTCAGTAACATTAATTGACTTGCTTATAAGTATAAAACAAAAATCATTTTGAAGCAAAGTCGTAATAAAATAAAATAGTGAAAAAAAACTCTATGGAAGAATTAACTTCGTTTCATGTTACAGGTAGGTACTGAAGATGTGAGTTCAGTATTTCTAGAAGAAATTAGTTTATTGGGTTCAGTTTTGGTTTAATCCTGATCCGTGCAATACATTGTACTTCCGTTAGGCCCACCACTGTTCTTTCTAGAGAACCACCAATGTACTATTCATATTTACCCATATATTTCTAATATCTTTTTTTGATTTTTTATTAAAGTTAAATTTAAATTGTCTACATTATAAAAAGGTGCTCCTATAGTATGCGGTCTACGTCAAGGGTGCGATCTACCTGAAGGATTTACACAAATTATTGAAATTCAAGAAAACATTTGTAGAAAAAATATCTATTCATAAGTAATAAACATTTGGAGCCAATTAAAGACTTGTTGTAATTAATAAATAAATAAAAACTTTTACAAATCTACCAGGCCATTTTATTTGAAAAGAGGGGTTGATGTTTACGCATACCCTGGAAAAAGATTACGGTGTTGTCTTTCATTATTGTGTGAAAACCCTTCTAAAAAAAGATAACGGGTAATATCTAGAGGATTTTCTAGTTTTTTGCTTTCTATTGTGTGGTTCAACTTTCTGTAATCATTTTTCTATACACTGTTTTGTTCCCCATTGTAGTCTTCTTGATTATCTTCTTAAAATTTGAGGCAACATTAGTTGTTCTGCTGTCGTTGTAAGAAACAATCTTTGCTTTTCATTTTTGTTTTCGTTCCATTTCAAATATAAATTGGTTTAAGTAATAAAAGAGGCTACCCCAGCTAAAATCGCTGGGGAGACGCTCTCTCTTCCCTGTTGACTGTCGTTGGTGACAGGGGTGTTCTCTCTCTACTGTTGACTGCCGCTAATTAATTATCTTTCTTCCGCTTTTAATTACGCGAAAAATACCGCAAATACTATTTTAAATTGCATACAGACGCAAATGTGTTCTATCTCGTGATCTCAGTGTTAGTACCGCGAAACACGTGTTCAAAAACCGGTACTCGGATAGATTCTCCGTATGAAGAACAACCGCGAGTGAAAGCATGACAATACCGCGGATGTGTGGAGCAGATATATTGGTCAGAATTTGTATAAACTTAATTTGCTATTGATTATATCACCCTCTACTACATATCCTAATTTATTTGAACCAGCTCTATGTAATACAGTCCTCATACACTGAAATTATACTCCCGCCCACCATATTTTCATGCCATACTTATCTGGCTTTGAAGGCATACACTGCTTGAAAGGACACCTACCTCGATACGGAACAAGTTGTTTATCTACCGTTATGTTTTTTCCTGGTAAATAGTATTTCTGAAAGTTTTGGTTGCCTTGATTCCACACATCGCGTATTGTTGGTAATTTGTAATTCCTTCTTCGTTCAGACCTCGAGTCCTTATCGCCAAATCGAACACATCTTAGCAAATTTTTGAATTGTTTTAACCCCATTGTAGCTTTAAATATAATAGGTCCATAGAAACCAAAGTATATCTACATTATCGATGTTGGCACTCAGGTACCCTAACAGTTAGTAGTAGTCCAATAAAGGCATATAGCTCTGAGTAGTCGCAATATTTTCAGTTATCTATTCCCAGGACTTTTTCGGCTTCTTTATTTGTACACTTCACTACTTCGTTCATAATTTTTTCGTCTACAAACAAACACTTTGACCAGGGGCTAACATTACTTTGTGCACTTTGCTTTTTGTTATGTTATGTCACAGGATCGCATACATCCTGTCGATTGTGGTTGACTCTTACCCTTACCAAGTTAAAGAATTTCGTCTAGGTGTTTTTTTTTTAATTTTCCTTACGTAAAATTATTTCTTTTTGTTCGTTAACTTCAATTATCGGAAGTATTCTTTTGTGTGTTCCACTTTTCTTTCACCGTCCTGCGTATGTTGATTCTTTACATTATCTTTTTATCTACTTCTCTCTAGAAGCTTTGATCTCCTTCTCCTTCATCCATTCACAACTTTTTTCTGATTTTGTTTTCCCCTTTGAGGTACTGGGTACAATTGTTAATGATGACGTCCTTGATTTCATTTAAAAGTATTTCTGTATTTTCGTCAACGTTAGGTAATGCAGTTAATTTACTATTAATCTCTTCAGTGACTTTTTGTCTGGTGTGATCTTGATTTAACTAAGTTATATTGTAACAATATACCTAGGAGTACCTGTAAGTTAGGATTCCATGTAGAACAATAAAGCTCCCAACTTTCCTTGGGAGTCAATTTTAAGGCCTTTTAGCTCAGTCTCTCAGATGTAAGAACATCTTGTCTTAGAAGTTAATCTGAAAAATTAGTTTGACTGGGACAAATAAACATCAAACAAAGCTAATCCTGGCTATAGCTTTACAAAAGGTAAAATGATTCTAATGGCTTCTGATATTGTCTTCATGTAGTTAAACAGGAATGCAGAATGTATTTGTTGGTTGCTAGTTCCAATTGTTCATATTGGTATTAAACTCTAGAGATATGGATATTCCCAATGGATTTAGGGGTGATCCCTCCCGAGCAAGGGGGGCAAGAAAAAAGATAACTAAGATAACTAGAATAATAAATATTGTGTTAGCAACTAGATATGCTCTAAAATATTTCCTTGCCATTTGAAGATTGAAAATAATTACAATATTAAATAGAAAATAGCAAATTGGCAAGGATAAAATGAAAGACTACATATTAAAATGACATGAAACGACATATTAATAGTCTAAGAAAGCGATAGGAGGATGATGTCGATGAGGACACCAGAGATCATCTTGGCAGTCGATCGTGGAAGAGAATGGCCACAGACCGTAACAGAGGGAGAGGTGTGATAAGTGAGGTCAGGGCTCGAATGGGGCTGCAGACCCTTAGGATGGATGGATGGATCAAAAGTATCACCGATTATCCGTATCTTCAATATCCGGTGACTATCCAGCACATTCTCACACAATGCTCTCTTATTCCCTTTCTTTCTAATAACAAACAATGCATCATAGGAGAATAGTAAATTAAAAAAAATACTAAATTATAATTTATCAAAAACAATTAAATTCGTTAGGTACAAACACGATGATAATAAACACTTTTGACATCAATAAACAGAAATGTCATAATAAAAACAATTGAAATTGCACAGCCCCCTTATAACACTATAGTAAGAGTAAAATAATATCTTCAATAACGTTGAGATTTTCTAACAATATCTAAAAAATTTTAATTTAAAAGTTTAAAGTAAATGTTCATTGTTAGCCAAATTTGAAGAAGAACCGAAAAAAAAAAATCAAAAGATTAGGGCAATCAATATTAAGGTTGACGTGGTAATTCTAAATAATTAAAAAATATATTAAACAGCAATACTCTCATTTTCTGGATTAAAAGAGCTTATGCATATAATGAGACATATCTGCAGTAGGAATAAACAAATTAAATAAGATGGTTAAATGGTTATTGTACTGCAATATAAACTAATTATTAAATTACATATTTTTGTTTTAACATGAATTAAAATCGAGGACTGCAATCTAATAAAAACAGTTTAGCAATAGTTTACATTGCATTAAGAATATTTTTTATTACTGTATTGTATTTTCAACTTGTAAATATTTTTAGTCAAATCCGAAACACAAAATTACACAGGTTAACAAAAAAAATTCTAAAACTTTTCTTACAAACTTATATACATCCTGTGTTTTTAGCGCTAAAAAAGAATCTGGAATTAAATTTTACGTATCACTCACAGTTTTCCCACAATATGACGCTGGTTTATCATACCTTATCTTCTTCTTTAAGTGTCATCTCCGTGACGGAGGTCAGCAATCATCATAACTATTAGGACTTTTGAGACAGCTGCTCTGAAAACCTTTAAATAAGTAGAGAGTAAGTTTTAAGGGTGTTCCGTTATACTGTGGGCCGGTATATGTTCAAATAATATCTACAGAATTGTACGTTGTCCCTAGCGGATGTCTGATGCTGCAAAATTATTCCCTATGCACCATTTATTGAAGAAAACTTCACATTGATGCGTTACAATGCAAGCCCTTATGCGCCCTGCATTGGCATAGAATATTTAAATGAAGTTAATATTACCCATATGGCATGGCCAGCGCATAGTCTCGATTGAAATCTCATCGAGCATGTTTGGGACAGTGTTGTTAGAAGTATTCGAAGCCAGGTACCTGCTCCTCTTACCTTAGATTAATTCAAAGTGGCTCCTTTAGAGGAATGAGAACCAATTCCACCGAACGAAGTTTTAAACTTAATAAACAGTGTGACCAGAGGAATAAATGTCGTTATACTGGCTGGTGGAGATAACTTAAATCAAGAAGTAATTTGTATACTTTTCCTTGTTATTTTATGTTGTTTTTAAAGATAATTAAAAAGGTACTAACTTATTTCATTTAATTTGTTTTTAATTCATTTGTCAGTTTGTACAAATCTCTTTAAAAAATCTGCTCCGATTTATGTGACTAGTATACAACTCACTCACTATATCAGACACTACAATACTATAAATATTATTTATTCATTTCTAGGTGCACTTACCTCACTCAATCAAGTGCAGTACAGAATACCTGAAGAACTGAGGGATGAATACTTAGAGGATTACCATAAGGAAGGCGCGAAAGATATTAAGATTATGGAAAAAGATGGAAAACAATTACTCTATTTCAATATGAAATTATTTGTTGCTATAATGAACAAACAGGA